TTATTAACAACAATAAACATTTTTTAATTAATCCATGTATAAATGTTACTTTTAGATAGGTAAATAATTTAAAATAATACTTCCTAAAAAAAATTTATCTGAAAAGTGAAATCAGATATATGACTGAAAAAAGTAAAATATATATTTGAATTAATTTCAAAGAATATTATAAAACAAACTACAGTTTCAACTTTAATGACAATTATTAGCTTTTTTTTAGCATGAATTGTTGATTTCCGCATAGACCACCTACAATGTCTGAATTTTCCAAAGTTAAAATATTAAAACAACGAATTAAGTCAAAAAATAATTTTAAAAAACCCCAAACAGATGAGTACTTGATAGTGATCATATACATTTATATAGGTAATAAGTAATAATGATCTTAGACAACTGGCAAAAAGAATACTAATAAATATTTCATCTCTATATTATATAATGATAAAGTTATCAAATGTATGTGTTGTATTTTAAAATACAACATAATAGTGTAACACACAAATTAGCTGCAGTACTAATAAAAATCTATCGTTCTGTTATTGGCAATTTTAATTTAGTGCTACAGATATATTATTTAACTATTTTAAAAATAACTTGTTAGAAGTACATATTTTTTAAACATAAATGTAAGTATTACCTATTTATTTAAAAAGTTATTGTCCACATCCATATGATAATGAATAAATTGGTATTTATTTTTTGTTACTAAATATGTAGGTATTCTACTATTACTAAGTAAACTATTACTTTGTAAAAAATTAATTCAAATAAAAAGTATTTGAATTTAATACTTAAACTCCATTTAAATTAAAACAAAACTGAATTTTTTTTTTTTTAACTATGTTATTTATGTAATAAAAAAATAATATCATGAAATTTCGTTTTTAAAACATCAAGCATTATATAGTATACATACATAAATGTAAAATTGTATAAAACTTTATATATATATATATATATATATATATATATATAACCATAAGTCACTTAACGTTTTTCTTATACTAATTGAATGTTTATAAAAAGAGACAATAATAATACTTTGTAAAAAACTCTGAATCCGAACAAAATATCAAATTTTCACCTATTATAGCTACAGAGATGTTTAAAGTTGAATCATACTTATAGTGACAATTGCTTTATTATTGTGTTAAATATAAAAAAGAAAGTGTCAATTGGTAATTGCTACACACCAAGTGTTCTTGAGAATCCTTTTACTGATAATTATAGAGCTATTGTTTACATTATTTAAATTTTAAAAGTAGGATGCCAAGTTGCATAAAAAGTTTATCATTTTAATAGTTTATTAAGTATTAATGGACCATTCACAGGCAACTAAATTGTGTTTAAACGCCACTGAATATATTATGTTCATATAACAAATGGGATCATTAAATCTTTACTGAACGTTTATGCAAGTCGCAGCCCGCCATAAATGTTTTATGCTATCAATAATACAACAACTGGAGCAAAAATCTTACTTACTATAAAATGAAGTGTATAAAATACACCAACATTGATAAGACTTTTACGAAATCAAAAAGAAGTACTGTCATTATTAATTTGAAACGAATCTCTTAAATGCTAGGGTCATTTAAACACTCATGTTTAATTAGATAAGAGATTTGTATGCAACTTTACAGGTAAACAAAATTGACATATATATAACAACGGAATCTCTTATCAGTATATACGGACGACGGCACCGTCACTTCTTCACACTTAAACATGATAGATCTCAAACACCGTACACGATAAAACGGAAAAAGGCGAATATATTATATATACGTTAATATTATTTAACAAATTAATAGAAAATAAACATTTCAATTAATATAGCGTGTCAACTGTCAAACACGAATGACCGATAGCCGATAGGCCATAATTGACAAATGCGCGCGCGTTGCTATCAGACAGACTCGTGACATCTGGTTTAGATTATTTTCTTTTCCAAGTTCAAATATAGTGTACCGCGATAAGCCCTTACGATTTTATATATTAGATTAAAACTTTATTATTTGCTATGTACTAAATTGTATTATGGCATAAAATACAACAAAAAAAAATAAAGAAATGAATTAGGTATGGAAGTGAATGTTTGACATAAAATATATTGATGACGCTAATTCCAGGCAGACCTCGATCTCTAAAACATTTCCAATCAGTACAGTTTTATTTATTTGATTCTATTTTTTCGCAATTTAAACGGCTCTTATTTTGCAAAAATCAAACCAATTATATAAATCATTTTCTACTTTTTTGTGAACTGATACATGGGCCGTGTTTAAAGTAATCGAACAAAATCCACCTTGAAATTATTAAAAGGCCTCTACACCTGTGTATTTTCTATAGAAACCCATTTTTTTATAAACTCGTACATAGGTTACCTTCACATTTTTTTAGTTTAAATGAAAACATATCGTTATTTGAACAATATACGTGCAAAATTGTTTTCTGCTTTCGTTTTACCACATAAATTGTACATAGACTGAGAGGCCTTTTTTTCGTTATTTGAACAATTCACGGGAATACAATTTTTTTACTTATTTACTATACCTTTATGTGTTTAAGAGGCCCTTGGGTGTTTTCAATCGTGCATATGAACAAGAACACTGACGTCAGCTTCAGATATGTGTTTAACGTTTAACAATACACAATATGTGCGCTTTTACAAATATCTCTACACTATATGTAAACAAAATGACTCGTTTATAATATATCCCGTTAAGCGTAGAAGAAAACTGTACGTTATTGTAATAGAACTACGTATTCAAGTTGGTTTACAATACCTGTTAAACAAAATTTCTTTATATTTTTTTGTAAAGTGTTCAACGTTTTATATTATATTAACATGTATTATAACACTATGCTGATTTATTTCATAGCCTGTATTATTTTATGGTCAACTGCAGGTACATATAATATTATATAAACATCAAAATAATTTCATAAGTTATGTACATAATTATGAAACTTATCGCGACTAAGGTTTTTTTGTTGTTGAATCAAAAGTAGTAATACATACACTTTGATAAACAAGTATACTGGACCGCTCTTTTATCCACGCAAAATTGTCTACTTAAATTTTTGTTTGTAACCAGCCCAATAACAAATTTATGTTGAAAATGTCTAAAAACAATAGGTGGAATACTCATTTCATTGTCCCGCACTTGCCGTCTCAGCCCAACCAAATCCCTGCACTGTCATTGGCCCACGTGTAACAGCCAGCTAGCTTTTGTTAATATTACTATCATATTGGTATCAATTATTATTTCATTTGTTATGATATATACATATATTATAATAAATAATATAACATATACAGGTGGATCTACTTATCGTGAACCACTCAATATCTTACTGGATTTAATTATTAATTGAATTTTTTTTTTCCAAAATGCTTTGATATAATGTGATCTTAATTTTTCACAAATTTTGATGTTCCTACCCCCTCCCAAATTAAGCTCATACATATATTTCACGTGGACATATCATCGTTGCCCCAAACTTCTCGTATCAGCCTAACCATATCCCCACGTTGTCATTGGTCCAAGCGCAATAACCATGACAGTAGTTTACTGCTAAATACACATACACACATTCAATACATTTATCACCATTTGTGATAGGTAAAGATAAAAGTTTTTCAGCCGAGTCTGCAACCACGAAAGAGCATTTTCATGTCTCGTTGAAGTACAGAATAAATTTAGAGTAGTGGTGGAATTATAGATATTGATATAGTATATTAAGAAGCAGTAACAAGCTAGTATGTTAAAACATCAAGTTTTTGGCTAATATTGTAGTGTTTAATAGCTGGCTTAAAACAGTTCATAGAGAATTTGGTCCCTTACTTTATTTTGAAATTATCATTTAGTTCTAATTTGTTCGTTGAACGTACAACATATCTGTTATCTCTTACCCTTATCTCCTACCCCTATCTTCCACCCCTATCTTCCACCCCTATCTTTCACCCCTATCTCCTACCCCCATCTTCCATCCCCATATCTCCTACCCCTATCTCCCACCCATTATCTCTCACGCGCTACATCAAACCCCCTATCTCCCAACCTCTATATTCCACCTCTATCTCCCAACCTCTATATTACACCTCTATCTCCCAACTTCTATACTCCACCCCTATCTCCCACCCCCTTCGTTACGCATTTTTCATAACGCTTTTTTCGGTTATGTGCCAGAGCAAAGACATGAAAATGTCAATAATATTTTATTAGTGGGAGATGGTCGAGTAATTGAATAATAACAAACAAATTATTTTTCTATAATTTTCTTTAGACACAAATATATTATTAAACATTGATTGTATGAATTTTGTCTACACGTTACTAAAATAAAATAGTCTACAAACATAAATTTAATAAAAAGTTTAAAAATTAGCTTTATTCCGTTTTGTTGTAAGAAAACAACTTAGTCGGTGAATGTATATTGATTTAAAAAATGAGTCACATATATATGAATGTAAAAAAAAATAGTACAGTGGGATAGGGGTATAGAGGCATCCCATCCACACATGTCACGTGTTTACAGGAATTATTACAACTGAAAGTGATAAAATCACTTCCAAATAAACACTTCGATTCAAATCAGTAGTTACTATTTTCAAACCAGTAAAGTCCAAACGAAGCACAGAATAAACTGATAAATAAACAAATTAGCATCAAAACGTTTATTTAAAAATTATTTTATCACTTCAGTTGTAATAATTCCTAAAACCCTTGATCTCCCAGTCTTCATTATGCTTTGATCCCATTATGCCTTGACCCCAATGTACTGGCTTCTCGGATAAAAACTAAATAACTGATACATCATTGAACCTCTTAAGTAGAAGCAAACACAAAAAAAAAAGTATTATTCAGAAAAAGGTACTACACGAAAAATCTAATTAAAAAAAACCAGCACTGTAAGAAAAATTCATAGTCTAAAATAGGCTATATTTTTTAATAAGTAAAGTAACACCCATGTACTGGATATTTCAGTGAGGCATGTTTATCATTAAGCATATTCCCTTAGAGATAGAACTGGGAGGATGTAAACTATTTGATGATAAATATGTTATTAAATCTTAAAGAAATTTAAATTAAATAGAAAATACAGATTTTTAAAAGGACTAAGACTATTGTTTATTATTTACGTTACAGTTTAAGATTACTATTTTAAAAGTTTACAGAGTTTTTATTTACTAGATAAATGAAAAAATATTTCTGAATACCTGTCTTATATTAATGTTAACTAAAATGTTTTAATTTTAGTTATTTTAAAAAATGTAAAATATAGTGGGAGGATGCTACCTAAATAAATAAAGCATACAAACTCATCCAAAAAAATCAGCTGTTTTTTTTTTTTAAGCGCCAACTGAGAAGAAAATCGATCATACCGAACAATTGGTCAGCGACATAAGCAACCTCTATCTAAGCGAAAGGTATGCGGTATTGAATTTGAACCTAGTAACTTAATTATTTTAAAAATTTAGTTTACCTTGTTTACAGTTTTTGAATACCAAAGCTTAAATGCCTTCTACTATGTTAACATTATAACGTGTTACACGTGTAATAAGATAGGAAAAATAGGCCGTTAGTGTTTCGGTTTTGACAATTTTGGTATAATAATTATGATTTGATTTAATTTAGGTAGTACTCAAAGTGGCAAAATATGATATAGATATTATTTAAAAATATATATTTTTCTGACAGGTTAAAATAAACTGGTTCATCATCTACCCATTTGCTGCCTTTAACTTCTTTCTACTCCAAATTATTCATTACTTATATTATTTTCTATTTAAACTAGTGAATTTAAGTCACTGAGATAAGATCGAAAAATTAATTAGAAACTACACATAATTTATCGATACTTATTATATTTGTATGTTTATTATTAACAAATTGTATTACTTTTTTAAGTTTTTCAGATGTTGATTTAAGCGACGGGTACGTGGTATTAAATTTACACCTATTATTATTATTTTAATAATTTCACAAGTTTATCTTGTTTACAGTATTTTAATACCATAGTCAAAAATGTTTTTCTAATACGTTGACTTTAAAATGTAATAATGTAATAAGATAGGAAAAGTAAAACGTTAATGTGTCCTTATTCACCAATTGGTGTAATAATTCTTCTTTGCTTTAAATTAGGTAGTACACAAAGTGGCGAAAAATTATTAGGTAAACTAAAGTATTGTTTAGCAATATTTGACTAACCGGTCAAAAAAATAAGTTCATTTTCTCCCCCTTTTATTGTCTATATCTTTTTTCTACCCTAAATTATTAATTACGATTAATTACATTATTTTCCATTTTAAACTAGTGAATTTAAGTCACTGAGATAAGATCAAAAAATGATATTAGAAATTACACATAATTGATTGATACTTATTATATTTGTATGTTCATTATTAAACAATTTTAATCATTATTTCAGGCTTTCAGATGTCGATTTGGTTGTAAAAGGAAAACAATTGTCCGCCCATCGTATTATATTAGCTTCACGCAGCGAATATTTTAGGTATTTTATTCTTATCATTAAGTATAATTCCTAAGGCTTTTCTTTCTTAGGTGGGTGAAAACTGTTTTTTTTGTGCCTCTAGTTTTGAACATAAGGCCTGAAAGTTGGATATAAATTAAATCTTTATCTACCTGTATACGGGGCATTCCACGTCAAACCGGATCATCGGGCTCGCCCAGTAGAATGACCATTGGACATTTTGGTTCGATGTGGCTTAAAATGAGACCCCTATTTTTTTAATTACTTCCACTTACTATTGACGCGACTAAATGGTATTTGCCGATAGTCGTTTATAAAATTGAAAATAATTGTTTTATTTATTTGGACACTAACAAAAAAACTGTTTCATCATTTCAAAAATGATATAAGTACAATTGTTTAGCTTACCCCTAAGTTTTACTCCATAATTTAGTGTTTCTACTAATATTGTGTATAATTTTTAGGAAGTCATTTAATGGAATCCCTAAAAAACCTGGTCGAGTCGTATTGGAAATTAATGAAGCCCCATTAACCATATTTAAAATATTTCTTGAATACTTTTATACTGGTCGAATGAAATTAAGTGATCTAAAGGTAACGAAAAATCGACGTAGCTTAGCGGTTATTAAACTGCACAATATAATTTTCATTAGGGTTGTGTGATCGTTAGACTGATAGTGTTTGTTTGATCTATTAAATTAAATCATGTGTTTTTATTCTTTATTTCCTAGGGTATAGATGTTACCGAATTACTTAGAATTTCGGATTTATTTGGTTTTTCAAACTTAACATATTCACTACGCGAGTATTTGGTAAATAACATTAAATTACAAAAAAAGAATGTAATCGACCATACTCAATTCTTGGTCAGTGACATAAGCAACCTATACCTAAGCAACAGGTAACCGTTATTGAATTTAGACTTATTAACTTTAATATTTTCAAAATTTGCAAGTTTATCTATTTAGCCGTTTGTTTGTCCCATTTTGTCAATTTTAGTACAATAATTCGTATTTGATTTAAACTAGGTAGAACTAAAAGTGACGAAATATGATGTTGGTTCTTAAAAACATATATATTTATCTGACTTTTCAAAATGTATGATCATCTACTACCCTTTTTCTGGTCTTTATATTTTTTGCTAGATTAAATTATACATTATTTATAATATTTCCCATTTTAAACTAGTGACTATATGTCACTGAGATAAGATCGAAATATAATAATTATAAAACTATTTTCTTAGTAAAATGTCATTATGTGAAATTAAACATATTTTATTGCTACTTAATAAATTTGTATGTGTATTATTAAAAAATTTTAATATTTTTTTAAGGTTTTCAGATGTTATTTTGGTTGTAGAGGGAGAAAAATTGCCCGTCCATCGTATTGTATTAGCCTCGCGCAGCGAATATTTTAGGTATTTTATTTATATAATTAATTATATTTCCTTAAGCCATTCTTGTTGGGCGGGTGAAAACTATGTGTTTTATTATTTATTTATTATTTTTTGTATAGCTTAAGTTTTTGAATATCAGGCCTGAATGTTGGACATAAATTAAATCTTTATTTACTTGTAAGTGTGACATTCCACGTCATACCGGGTTCAAACCGTATAATTATTATGACCAGTTTTTCTGGTTCGATGTAACCAAAAACGAGACCACAATATTTTTAATTACTCTCACTTATTTTTAACGTAGCACCCATCTTGTGAAACTAAATGGTATATGCCGAGGGACGTTTATACAAATTAAAAATAATTGTTTTACATTTGTTTAGCTTACCCGTATAAAGGGTATCGTTTTACTTTATAATTTAATGTTTGTAGTAATATTGTGTATTATTCTTAGGAGAGCATTTTATGGAGGCCATAAAGAAACTTATCAGGATATGATGGAAATTAATGAAGTCCTAGTCTCCATATTTAAAATACTGCTTGAATATATTTATACTGGTCATATAAATTTCACTGGTCTAAAGGTAACAAATAATTGACGTAGCTTAGTGGTTATTAAACGACACAATATAATTTTTTACGGTTGTGTGATTGTTTGGCCGATGTAGGTGTTTGATCTAATAAACTAAATTATTAATCACATTATTTATTTTTTATTATTTAGGTTGAAGAGGTTTTGGAACTAATAAGGATTTCAGATTTATTTCATGTTTTAACCTTAAATACGTCACTAAACGAGTATTTGAAAAAAGACATTGAAGTAGACAATGTTTGTTCGTACTTTAATATGACTCGACTTTACCAATGCACGCAGCAAGAAGTCGAATCTCTTAACTTTATAGAAAACAACGCTTTGAGAGTATTGCAGTCTGAAGATTTTCTCTCATTGTCATCCGTAATGACTTTGTTTTAATAAAAAAAATGTATTGTTTAATTCAGGTGAAAAGTTTAGACACAATTTTTATTTTCAGGAAGATCTCTATGAAATTCTCATTCGTGACTCGTTTTATGCAAACGAAATTGATATATTCCGCGCGGTTTTTCGCTGGATCAATGAGAACCAATACGACCTGAATCCTGATACTCAAAACAAAGTTTTATCCGCCGTCAGATATCCGTTAATGAGTGATGAAGAACTTTTTGAGGCTAGGAAAACACTGGGTAGTAAAATTGCAGATGCCGTGCAATGTAGAAACAAGACGTCATCAGATAAGCCTCAATTTCGAGGACAGCTAAGTATGCTTGCTGTAAACATCAATCTGTAATTCGCAAATAATGTTGGTTTTAATTGTTTTGTTTTTTAGGACAAAATCTGAATCTAATTGGTTGGTGTCAGTGTTTTCCACCCATCGATAGCCTTGCCGGGGGTACTAGAATGATAATGTTGCAAAATCCATCTTTTATAAATTATATTGAATTAATGTTGTCGGATGGAGATGGCACGAATCCAAAGTATGTTTCTAAAATAAAAATATTTTAAATTAAAATTGTCATTAAATTTAATAAAAAATGTTTTTGAAAAATTTGTAAAAATTTGATTTATAATTGTTTTAACTTATGTATAACAATTTTATTCGACTAAAATGTATTTTAATTAAAAGTAGAGCAAACAAATTTATTAATATTTGAAAAATTATTGTTTATTAAGAAATAGTTGTTGATAAATTGTATTCAATATTTGACCACATTTCTAAAAAATGTTTTCTTAAAATGTAATTTTCTATACTTTTTTACAAATCACTACTCTACAAGTATTTCTATTTGTTTAATACTATAGGTTTTACTCTTATTACATTGAAGTTTCAATGGATCAACAACATTGGAATACTTTAATAGATCATTCAAATTATAATTGTCGATCAACTCAACAATTGTGGTTTCACCCCCTCATAGTTCGGTATATACGTTTTGTTGGAACCAAAAGTACTGCTAATGAGCTTTTTAACATTAGGGATGTCAATTACAATACAAGCCTAAATCACAAGGTGGATATCATAAATGGATTAGTCGGTAACATATAAAATTAAGTATCTTATTTTTAGAATAATAAAAAATGATAATATATTATGTAGGTATATACTACAAAATAATTATTTTATCGTGACCACTCAATATCTGATAGAGTTGAATAAGAGATATCATTTTTTGTTTCAAAATATTATATACACTGGCATCACACCCAACAGAGTTTTTTTACATCAAATTTTGAAACTTAACGCATACATTTCATTAACATTTTAATGAAATGTATGCGTTAAGTTTCAAATTTAGGGCCTCAGGAAAGGTGGACTGTTGTATCGTTTTTAAGTGCCCGCACTTCGCCTCCTATCCTAACTTTTCAACTTTTATGACTTTAATAATAGTTGTTTAAAACTGGTTCTCAACCAGTCAACATTTTTAGTTCATTATTCCCAATTTAAAAAGTTGCTATCAAAAAAACTAAGTTGGGAGCGGGGAAAACAACAAAAAATGTAAAAAAAAAAATGAGATCATATCGTATAAAAACATCATGTAATAAAATATATTAAATTTCTTATTCAAACCTATGATATATTGGGTGGTTCACGATAAATGACCTTGTATACATTTTTCTAATTTATTGATTTTAATCAAGCTCCGAAACACGTGTTAAATGTCGCTAAAAGATATATGAATGCATCTGTAATCAAAGGTGAAAATAGTGTAAGAGATTATTCGCTATTAGATTACTACTATGAAAGCTTGTCTAGACATAACGAATACACGTGGCATCGGCTGGAATCGGGTGGTTGTATAGTGGTTCATCTTGCACAGCCATATATACTTGGATCAATGAGGTAATAGCATAAATATTTTGCAAGTTTAATAGCAATCTATTCACTAATCTGACCAGGTTCTCATAAGAATTCTTTTGACATTTTTTTTATTATTTCCAGTCGCTGGAATGAGTTTCTTAGAATGTATGAACACAAATTTCCCCAATTGGCATTATTTCATTGGTTTAAAAATAGACTAGTCAACATAATATGCATTCTTGTTTATGCTTTAATTTAAAAATTGACTGTATTTCATTAAATAAATTATCAATGGTGATGTAAATGGACAACATTAACAAAAATGATAAAAACAAAATTAAAATGATTTTGATCATAATTTTAATTTGAAAAATCTTAGGAACTTGCATAATTATGAATTTTATTCTTTTTTTTTTTAACTATATTATTGCATTAATATTGATTAACAAATAATTATAATGCTTTTCATCATTCGTTTATTCACATGAAAAATAAAGGTTTAACTTGGCCGAATTATCCTGTTATTCATAAATTGTATTGATTATTAAACTAAGACAATATTATTATTGCCAAAATTGACAGGATGCTACTTTGGGGCGGCGATGCACAAGCTTATAGTTATACTATTCAAGTATCTGTCGATAATGAACATTGGGAAACGATTGTGGACAAATCTAAGGAGGTGACACGATCTTGGCAGTTGTTGCACTTTAAAGCCAGGCCGATACAGTACATTCGTATAACTGGCGTTCGCAGTTCAGTACGCAATGTTAGTATAATATAAATAAATATATACATATATTTAACATTTATGACTCTTTTATGCTGTAGGAATTTCGTTGTGTATATTTGGAGGCACCGGCTTCAGTCGTTTAACCAAATTCGAAAAATAATAATATTTTATTTCTTTTTGTGCTAACCAAAATGTATAAATATCAATTATCTATTTTATTACATACTTTACTGTTATATCACTTGTATTCCCTGAAAATAAAACATATGGTTTGGTATTATGATTGAAAATAAATTTTAGAGTTTTCTCAATCTATTAATTGTGTTTGTTATTTTTTTATCCTTGTCGGGCCTTGTTAGATTTTAGGAATATCTGATTAACCATTGAACAATGAGGTAGTTAATAAGAAATACATGCAGAAATAAATAAACAATTATAAAATCGAGGGTCCGACGTTTTTTACATTACAAATTGAGGATGAAATTATGTAAGCCAGAGATAAATGTCTAAATGTTTGTTGGTTATGTATTAAATGGATGGTACTATTTATTTTGAATTAAGAGTAAGGAATGGTAAGAAACTAAAAATAAATTCATAGCTAATTTCTTACTAACAGAAAATGAATGTTATATTTTATTAATAGCTATTAAATAAATAATTTATACATTTCTTAACCTTTTATTAGTACTTACTTACTATTTTTATAACGTATTAGACATACTGTGTTATAATAAAAGTAACTATAAAGCCAATAAAATATGTTAAATTCAAAAATTTTAAAACAGAAAGTTAATTCAGAACAGCTGAGATTATTTTATAATCAGTATTTTCTTAGATTTATTTTTAATATTATTTTCACTAATTATCTTTTATTTAATATGTGGAAAATCAATAGCATAATAGATTCTAAAATAATAAGACTAATCTTATAGAAGAAAA